TTTATTTATTATTATATATATATATATATATATATATATATATATATATATATATATATATATATATATACATATACACAATATTAATTTATAACGTATTAGAAATGAATATAAACTTAGAGAAATTATCAAAAAATATTTTATATTATTAATTTTGTTTTAAAATGACTTTAATAATATTATATCCTTTTTTTTAAATTTATCTCATAAATACGATGAAATATCTAAGATCTATAACAAAATCGTAAAATCATATTTGTTTTAAATTCAGTTTCTAATTATTAAAAAAATTTTATATCATTATCAGAGCAATGAATCATTGTGTAGTGATTTTTCTTCTGATTTCTTTTGATCACCACGATTGTGAAATTGGATTGTGTAGAAGGTCGAAGCATTTCAGTGTTAAGTTAAAAAGAGATCAGTCGGTATGCCTGTGAGCGAGAAACCACTTCTGTTGGCAATTAAGGAACCAGCAAATATATATGACCTGAGCATGGCGAGGAAGAAGATCTAACTTGTTCTTTGTTATTATTCCAAGAAAAGCAGGATACTGGTAAAACATACTCGCGCAATATATGGTACGAGCATTCCGTTCATCTAGTTATTCTCTTGTTTTTCCTTCTCCTATTGACTTTTGAAGTCAAGGTATTAAACGACAAAAAATTTTACCAGAATTCACTTATCTGGTGTGTAGGTTGAACAAGAACGTGCCACGACTATTGGTCAACATTGAAGTTGGTTAGCGCGCTTTTTTTGTCCCCATAACGGTTTAACTGTTCCTCGACTCATGTAAGTACTTGCACGCACACGAACATCGTATATGTTTTGCATCTGATTCGTTTGAATCGATATTCTTGCCCACACAGTCGTAGTTTAATCACCACGTTACAGAGATTAATCGTTTGCTAGATACGAGAGACAAGTTATCAGGTAATGTATGTGTGTCGTGGCAAATTTACATTTACAAATGATAGTAACATGGTTTACATAGAAAATACGACATTGATTAAAATATATTATCACTTTTTTGGTAATATAATTTGAAACTACTTTTATTTTTTCTTATTTTTTATTCAATAAATAAACACAGAAATTGAAAAATTTTGTATTTTAACATTCTGATGATATTATAATATATCATATTATACATCAAAATATCTTATGAGCAAAATTACTTATAATTGTTTTTAAATAATAAAAAAGAAAATTTAATATAAATTATATTGGTGAAAATAAACTTATAAAATATAGTGGCATGAATTAAATTTTTCAATTTAAATCTTACATATTTTCTGTATTATCATTTATTAACATTTTATTTTATTTGTATTTTTACTTCTATTGATTTATACTTTTCTCATGCAATATAAATTTATTAATTTTCCTTAATAACATTATCGTTGCCTCTCCGTTAATATTAATTCTTTAAACAAATCAAACAAAAATCTCTATTAATTTCATATATTTATCTTGAAGCATTGATCCATATTTACACTCTAGATTATTTTTGATTTAATCTTATTTAACTTCATCTTTTTTTGTTTAATCCTATCATTACAAATAATTAGTAACATTATTTGGAGGCGATATAATATTTATCATTCCTATAACTATAGAATAAAATGGAGAGCAGCGATGCAAAATAGTAACGGTCTTCTGCAGGTATACGTTTGAAAATATCCTTCAGCGCTGCAAAACGATGGGGCGACGTTGGTAGCGGCAACCCCGCGCCGCTGCTTGTACGAAGGTTGCTGCTGCGTGGATTCGGAGGGATGGTAAAGAGTAGAGAGGCACGCAGAAGAGGGAAGAGGTCGGGTTGTGGAACGGATAGAGCGGTAGTGGCTCTGGCAGCAGCAACACGTAGTACACGGTAGCACCGCGACGAGAACGCACACGGTTTATACCACGTCGCTTTAGTAGTCAGTAGACTCGCTTCGAGCCAGTTTCACTCGGTCCAGTGGCGCAGTCGCGTTACGCGTATATATTTTTTCGTATCTTCAACTACACCAGCATCATCACTACTACATCACCATCACCAATTACTACCAACGTCGTTGTTACCACCACCTGCACCGTTGAGTGTGTCAACATACATACGTAAACGTCAGCAGGATCACCGAGTCATCGGGTTGCTCCTGGGAAATAAGTTACAGAAGAAAACGTTTATATCTTCGAGACGGCGCGAGGTATGTAATATTTATTATTTGCTATATTTCCTTCAAATTCTTCTTGTTTATAACTATTAATGTTGATCGCGAGCGTGAAAATGGTGGCTCTTTTATGTGCGCGGGATTCAGTGGCGGAAGTGATCGCGCGTCGTCGATGAAGACGCGACGAATGAATGTTCCTAGAACATTATCGTGCTTCGTTCTCGTACTCTCTCCGTATATTCCTCATCGATTTTCCTCGACAAGACCCGCCCTGTAATTTACTGTTCTCTTTCTCTCTATAGATATCTTATTGAGTAGTTTTTATTTTACACTTACAATTTGAAATCGAATTTTTCTGTAAAATGTTAGTGTAAAATACGAAATTTCGCTATAGAAACATAATTATAATTCATCTCGATTATTATCGAGATGAGTCTTCAGATCCTTTTTCGGCGAGCGCGCGCGTGTTTGCTGTCGACGATCGATGGACTCTATCGGCTTCTCTCTTTCACCCTCTATCCACGAATCGTGGCTGGTCGTTTCTTTTTAACATAATATGCTTGCTAGACGGTCTTTCTCGATGAACCATGCATCTTAAATATCGATTCCCGATAGAATATGAAGATCGAAATCAAATCATTATTGAGCATACTTTCATAAAGATTTCTTATATAAATATACTTTATAAAGAAATACTTTATAAAGAAAAATCAATAAAATTCATATTTATTAAAATTTATTATTGATTCATTTAAAAAACAATTTTTTAATATTTTTGTAACAACAAATAACGTGTTTTTAATATTTTTATCTTTTTTTTTCTTAAATTTGAAGAATTTTTAATTACATTTAATATATTTGAGGCAAACTTTTTGACAAATGATTCATGAAAACAATTAACATGTTTTTCAAGTCTCAACTAATATTTTGATCTTTTTTACACGTTATTTTTCTTATTGAAAACAAAGACATCGATCTGCATCTCGAATTACAGGCAGCAAATCCTATGAGCGGAAAGAATTCATTAGAAGGAACTTTGCCAACGCTTCGAGTACACACTTCGATCGATAGTTTGAAAGTAGTTTTAAGTTTTATACGAGAAATCGAATCTTTTGTTGGAATTGAAAATAGCTCTGAAGATAGCTAAACATAAAATGTGATGTATCATCAAAATTTCTTTTGAAATTTCTTTTAATTTATTTTATATTTAATTTCATATTTTTTTCTAATCTTTTTTTATTTTCTTTTTTCTAATATAAAATATAATTAATTATTAAAAAAAAGAATGTATAAATATTCCAAATATGATCTTTGTTTTATATTCAAATAAAACATTCTTTATTTATGTGATGTAGCATTTCATTGTCTTATATTCAAAAATATGAATTTGTTTATCTCAGTTATAATTTCAAGCAAAACAAAAAATTAATTAAATTATATTGAATTTTGTATTATTTGAGTAATAAAAAATATTGATTCAGTATCGATTTTCTATTTAGAATTTTAAAATAAATTATTTAAAGTACAAAAAGATTTATCTATATGATAATACTCTATATGTAATGATAATTACTCTATATGAAATAATTATTTCTTTTGACAATTTTTTAAAAGAAAACATTATAAAAATATGGGTGACAGTATGACAATATATTTAATGGATGATATCATATTCCATAAAAAACTACTATATTATATATACAGTTCACGCACATTGACATATTACATAGTCTTTCAGCTTTTTGCGCAACAAAGCCTGCTTCTTAATATGAAAACTATAATGTATATTTATTATGAACAGGGCTCCGTGAAATAACCGATGGTTAACGATTTTTTTCGAGTTGTATACGTCACTTTCTGCATGTTAATTCATTAAAGGATATCGAGTGGGCGTTGTGATGTTGCAACAACCCTCATGGAAGCAAATAACAGGAGAAAAACACGTCGATCCGGATATCATTTTTTTTTTTCCTTTCTTCCCTTGGTAATTTATAAATTCAATTGCGTTTAGTTTAGACGAAAATGAGAACAATGGAGAAATAGTCATATTTGTATTTCTTTTTGATTATTAAACGTGACTGTAAAATGAATCACAACTTGTTTTTTAATATGTTTAATTGTTTTTTTCTTCGAAATCTCCAAGCAATTTCAATGTTCGAAGAGTAAATGTTTTAACTTCGATTCAATAGATGACATTTACTAAAAGAGACATTGAACTAATTTTCATAGAAGGTTAGTAATTTAATGGAATAAACCACATTGCGCTAACGATAAATGATATTTGATTGTGGTAACATATGTGATTGAAAGACTTTAACCATGAATTTGTTAATCTCACGATTTGCTAATTGAATTGCCATGATATTCGCAAATGGCAAAAATAGATACGTATTTAGAATTATTAAAATCTTCACTTTATCAATCGAAGTATTCGAATTTTTCTCGAATCCTTCAATTCTTTTGATTTTACACAAAAAAATAATTTCGTCAAATCATGTGGGAATATATTTATTATACAAATTACGTTGTATTTTTTTTTTTTTAAATTCTATATTTACGTACAATTTATTTTTGTGATATCATAATATGAAAAAAAATGTGGTAAAATTTCAGTTCTTGATGGATAGACACGAACATCGAATATTCTCCGAGACAAAAAAGCGTATCTATGTGACCGATACCGTGAGAGAAATTATCGTTGATGGAAAGAAAAAAAAAGAGGGTTGACGCGCTTCACCATCGCTAGCGAATTAAGTTACACGAGAGTAATTTGAGGGGAAATTGCGTGCAATATTTGCCATTGCCGTGATGGAATCATATTACGCGCGAGAAAGAGGGTGCGAGAGAAAAAGAAGAGAGAATGCAGGCTTCGACACATGTGAGCAACTCGCGATGTCGTGTTTTATCGTGTCAGAGTAGGCTTCGTGATGATACTGTGACACGCATATTTTTCGCGGGATCTCGAAAGACTCGATTTCGCCCACGGAAAACTATCTCAATTTTTTCTTTTTTCTTTTTTCTTTTTTTTTTTTTTTTCGTTTTCGTATACATACATGAATAACCGGATAGTTTGATGAATGAGTAAGTGAAGCGTGAGTGACACTCATTTTCTGATTTTTCTGCTTATCATAGAGTACGTATAGTTTCTTAGCATCGTTGGACATTCGTATCTTCCCCGTGCAGATTGAAATTATAAAATTGACTCGAAGTAAAACTTTGAAAATTTGTTCGAATTTTTTTTAAAAATTTACATTAAAATACAAGCTTAATATTTATGATTTATTAAATTATATCGTATAATAGGAAGCATAATTTTCAAATAAATAATGATAAATAGATTTTTTGTTCGTTCTAAATCTAAAATTAATTAAAATTTTGATAAAATATGCAAATACTTTTGCTATACTTATATATAAAATTAGTTTATGTATTTAATCTCCAGTTACCCTGTATATTTTATCGTGTCATATTGTGCATTATAGCCGAGTTCGTGCACGAACATTCTTAATGTCCATTAAGAATATAAATGCATTTAAATGTATCATGACCGTATTACCACGCTACATTTCCCTCTTTAATTAACCTCAATTTGCGGTACATCTGGCGACATAGTTGCCGCCAATTTGCTAGCATCTCATGTTCCCCGAGCAGTTTGTCGTATCGACAGTATCATTCGAATCACGCTGCTAAATTGTCAGCAAGACATATCGGCTTGTGGGAGGGTTGCGATCGAGGTCCATTGTCAGTACCATACCTAGATACCATATCACGCGTATAATCATAAAAGCTGCTTGTCGAGATATAGATTTCTATTGGAAAAAAAAATATCTACAATAGTTTCGTAATTCAAACCGGACTATTTTTTCCTCTCCGGGCAATGAAAAGAATAAAATGATAAAAGATCCAATAAATAAAAGAAACTTGACATAATGGTTAGCTATGTTAAGCAGAATTATTTGAAATTTAAATATTGGTTACTTTTTCATATTAAAAAAGAAAGAAAGAAAGAAAGAAAGAAAGAAAGAAAGAAATAAAAAAAAAATCTTTCTTATATAAATAAAACACGTGTATATGTTTTTATTTGTTCGATTTTAATACATTGATTTTAATTACATTTGATTAATTGAGTTTAATTATATTTTGTTATTTTATAAAATTATTGTTGCTTTTGTATCTTCAACTTTTAAATATTTTTAAATACATAATAATTATTAAGAATATAGGAATAAAAATTGTATCTATAAAAAATATAGTTAAGTATATTTATCGATAATTAACTTCATTTGTTAGAAAAAATTCGATTAATTTGTTTACAAATGATTGACAGTATGATTGTACATAACATTCTATTTAATCAATTTTAGATGTTTTTCCAAGAACACGGACTTATGCAAATAAATTATTTTTCTTTTCTTTCTTTTACATTATGCATTAGACTTTTTTTCATGTTTGACAAGAACTTCCGCTCAAGAGTCTTTCGTTAAGAGATTCTAACCTCTTAGAATTTCAATGATGTAGATATTCTTTCGTAGATATTCATGATATTCTTTTCCGTTTTTCGTCACTCATTATTATTTGGAAAACGAGTGATATGATATGAAATCCTATATGATGATATACTTAAAACTCTCTGTACATATGTATATGTATATATAGTACATATGTTTCAAGTGTTGATTTTAAGTGCATCAATTTTGCGGTTAGCTCATTCGATAATTTATCGACTGTCCGTACCAATGAATTCGATCCGTGAAATGTATACTTTAGAAATAAACTATTTTAAATTTAAATAAACATTTGAATACATTTCAAAGTTATGCTTTATGAAAGATAATGAATGTATATGTCAATCTATTTAATTTGTTTTTCGATTCGTTAAAAATTCTAATGAACATATCGATATATATTTTTATATATAATAATAATATTATCTTATAATCAATATGTCTACCGTTATCGTTAAATGGCAATCGTATACCTAATATAATATCAATGTTTATATATTCTAAATTCAATCAAATGATTTCTTTATTATT